TCTTCACTCCCATTTCTTTCCATTCCAGTTGTTGCATGATGTTCTCGAGAATGGTGCTGAAGAGCTTCGGTGAAATGGTATTACCCTGAAATGGTATAAACCCCTTTCTTGACATCAATGATCACCTCCTTGTAGAATGGTGACATTCTGGTAGTGAATTCGCAATGCAGCTCATGGGGGATCCTGATATATTGAGTTTGAATTGGCTAGGGATTCGATGACCACTTCCATCGCAACAGAATCAAAGGCCTTCTTTAAATCGATGAATGATAGAGCAACATTTTGAAGTCCCGAGAAATCTCAATGAGCATGGTTATCGTGTGGATGTGGCCAATTGTGCTGAATCCTTTTTGGAATTTGGCTTGCTCGCATGGTTGTCCTTCATCTAGTGTTCTGCCAATCTTATTCAGGATGACTCAAGTGAATAGCTTGTAGACGACAGACAACAGGCAGATCGGGCAATAGTTGCCAATGTCATGAATGTCTCCCTTCTTGTACAGTAGTACAGTTCTGCTGGTTTTCCATTGAAACATAACCTTGCATTCAGACAGAGAGCGTGTGAAGAGCTGAGCCAGTGTATTGATGAGAACTGATGGCAGGTTCTTCAGGTGTTTGGTCTGACTTTGTGTGGGCCAGGTGCTGTTTGCTTCTTTACTGATGAAACGGCGTGTGAGATTTTGGAAGGGAGAACACTGGGAACGACATATCCATCCTACGGAATTTGGTATGTGGGCAGGTGGACGTGGCTATCGAAGAGTCAAGGAAGAAGTCATGGATAATCTTCTCCATTGCACTTCTGGAAGATGTGATAGATCCATCAGGACGTCAGAGGGCAGTCATCTTGGTCTTGTAGTTGGCGAAGTTCAGGTGGGCATTGCGAATGCTTTTCCCAGCTTCTGCGGCATCAGCCAGAACTGCAGCTCTTCTCTCTCTGAGGTCTTCCTTTATTGCTTCTCCACACTTCTTTGCGAGCTTGGCCATTAGCTTGAGGTTGCCAAACCACATTGGCGAATGAGTTCAAGAATTTTCAAAGACAGGCGTCTTTTTGTGACTATATCTCTCTTGGCATTCCTTGCACAATCATGGAGGTGCTGAACCAGTCAATCATATTCTTCATCAATGTTGTCAACAATGGCATCTTCCCATGTTGCCGCAATAGTGCCAATGAGCTTCCAGTAGGTGGTCGTTCTGGGAGTTCTCTTCTCAAACGTTGCAGCCCCTTCTCCCTGATTTTTGAAGTAGAATTTTGCATGAAGGATCATCAGACGGTGGTCTGATCCCGTTTGGAATTTTGGGACAATAGCAACATCGGTCAGGCAAAACCATCTATTGAATGATTTGGTCAATTTCATTGTGGAACCATCCACCGGGAGACTCCCATGTCCAAGGTTTAGATTCATCCTTCTGGAACTGTGAGTTACCATGGATGGTCTTGATCGACATGATGAACTCAGTCTCTCACCTTGTTCATTCCATTCTAGGTCATGGGTCCTGATGTGGAGTTCTCCTTGCTGATCTTCTCAGTCCAATCTTGGCATTAAAATCAACGACAATAATCTTGTAGAAGGTGTGGTCTTCTTTAAAGAACTTATCCAGCTCCATGTAGAACTTCTCAATTTCTTCTTTACCATAATTGGATGTTGGTGTGTAGACAATGAAGATAGAAACTGCCAGCAGTGAGCCACATCTATTCAAGTATAATTGTCCAATTCAGGTTGTTAAGCATTCGAATGAATCAATGCTCATGGCCATGTTCGTGTTGACAAGGACACCGACACCTCTGATGCCTCTTTTGTCACATGTTCTGAGGAACGGTTCTTCTCCAGTGTCAAAAATGGCGTGATGTGATTGATGACTTCTCATCTGGGTCAGACCAATGATGTTGTACTTGATCTTTCGGGCTTGCACTGTCAGGTCCTTGATAGATGCATCCAATGCCAGCGTATGTGCGTATATGCCTTGAAAGTACAGATAGCCATTTTTGTCCTTCTTCGTTGTTTTTTTTTTTATTAGTGAAATACCATGAGGTACAGTTGTAGGCTTACAAATTTTTGTGCTTGGGTTTCAGTTATACAATGATCAAGTACCCATCCCTTCACCAGTGCACATTTTCCACCACCATGGGTCTCGGTATTCCTCCCCCCAATCCCTCCCCCCCCCAAATAATCTGGAAAAAACCTGAGTGCCTGAGAACAGATGACTGGTTAAAGAAACTTTGGTACATTTACACAATGGACTACTATGTAGCTGTTAGAAAAGATGAAGTCATGAAATTTACATACAAGTGGTACTACATGGAAAGTATCATGTTAAGTGAAATGTGTCCTTCTTTGTTTTGGCAGCCTAGGTCAGCCCTGAGATTTTATAAGTCTTTCCTTCCTCATTCTTCTTAATGCTGCCGAATTAGTGACTCTTTCAGGGTCAGGGGAATGAGACCCATTGTATTTACTGGTTTTGGCATATCGCGCGGGTAGCTTTAGGCTCTGCTGTGCGGGCTTGATATTCTTGGTAGCTTGCCAGGCTCTCCAAGAGGGATAGAGGTTTTTAGGGTGGCCTCTAATCGCCCTTGCAGGTGTGTCCATGGTTCAAAACATATTTGAGCTCCATCAAATATGGTGCAGTAATCTTGGATGATGGGTATTAAGTGTTTTATGAGCCACGCCACACTCCAGGCCGCTTTCCGAACATTCAGGGTGAGACCGACACACGAGTGAAGCCCCACAGAACCAGGTAAGCAGAACTCTGCGATCTTGGACTCCAGGCTCAACGGGACCCAGGAACAGAGATCCTCTGCCTGCTCCCACCAATCTCCAGTGACCCGGGATTAAACCCAGAAGCACCACCCTACCCTGCCCTGCCTGCTTCCACCATCTCCAGCAACCCAGGTATTACACCCAGAAACCCCACCCTACTGGTACCTGATAAATACCTCATTGGCAGACCTCTACTACCTCCACTAAAAAAAAATGAATATGGACAAATTGAATAGTATTTTTTTACATAAATGCAAGTTTGGTTAGATTCTCAAACAATTATTAATGTCCTCAGGGAACCATATGGGAGTGTTGGGGATCAAACTTGGGTCAGCTACTTGCAAGGGAAGAGCCTTACCCACTGTACTATTTCATCAGTCCCAATTAAAAATTCAGAGAAAACTTGTATAAGAGGGAAATTTTGTGTGTGTGTGTGTGTGTGTGTGTTGGTGGGGGGGAGTGCCATACCAGGTAATGCTCATGGTTTACTCCTGGCTTTGAACCAAGGGATCACTCCTGATGGTGTTCACGGGACAATAAGGGCATTTTGGGTGCTGGGGATTGAACTTGGGACAGACACATGCAAAGCAAGGCCCATATCCACTGTACTATTTCTTTGACCTTAAGAGAACTTTTTTTGGGGGGAAGGGTGGTGAACTACCCTCTTCTCTGCTTAGAGCTTATTCCTGCCTCTAGACTTAGGGAATACTCAAGGAGGTTCTCAGGGCATCTCATAGGTTGCCAGGGATTGAACCCAATTTGGCCAAGAGGAAGGCAAGCACCATATTTAAACTATCTCTCCAGACCCAAAGGAACTTTATAAAATCGAATATGGCGTATCTATGTAAACCCATTAGAAACAAACAACAAAAAAATAGTTGAAAATACAAAACCTGGAATAAGAAGGATGCTGTTTCAAAATTAAATAGGAATACCTTGTCAGCAAATAAGACCAGAAAATAAACAGTGGGTAGGACATTTGCTTTGCACATGACCAACCAGAGTTCAATTCTCTGAACCCACCAGGAGTGACACCTGAATGCATAGCCAGGAATAAGCCCTAACTGCCACCAGGTATGGACTCCAAGCAAAATGAACAAAAGTGTAATTACTGGCAATGAAAATCAAATCACAGAGAAATCGCTCATGATATTAGCCTGATACACACATTATGTACTTTAGCCTAAAAAAAGGCATACTTTAAAATAGACTAAACATGATTGTCACCCATTGCCTCTTTTGCAAACCACAATAAGAGAGAGAGAACAAAAGGGAATGCCCTGTCACAGAGGCAGGGTGGGATGGGGGGTGTGAGAGATACTGGGATCCGTGGTGGTGGGAAATGGGCACTGGTGGAGAGATGGGTAGTTGATCATTGTATAATTGAAACCCAAGCACAAAAATGTGTAAGTCTGCAACTTTACCTCATGATGTCTCACTATATAAAAATTTTAATATTAAAAAAAGAAATAAAAAGACTAAGATTGCCTACAATTTAAAAAAAATAAAATAAAATATGTGTTACTCTTTGTGTTTATGTGTGCATACTCATGTTTTTCCCAATGACTCTGTAAGTCCATCCATTTCCAGTATTGCCCTCCCGTTGATCGTCGATTTGCTCGAGCGGGCCCAGTAACGTCTCCATTGGAGACTTTGTTGTTACTGTGTTTGGCATATCGAATACGTCACAGGGAGCTTGCCAGGCTCTGCCGTATATTTAGGTTTAATGCAATGTTTGTTGCATTGCTATACAAAAATGTACTTTTAGAAAAAAATATATATAAGCAAACAGTAATGAAAAAGTAAAAGATGGCAACCCAAATCTAAGGATCTGGAGAGGAAAAAGTTCATTTATTTTCCAAGATCTCACTTTTCTGTGTGATGTCATTCAATTGCTCTACATTTGTGTTTTCCCTGGACAAAGGCCAGTTGAAGAATGTCCTGGGGTTCCTACTTGGAATCTTTCAAGGCAGTTTTATTAATAAATCAAATGTAATCTAGTAACATCCCATGAAACTCAGTGGAGTCAAGAAAGTTTGTTTTCTGCAGTGGTATCATTTTGTGACTTTTGGAGTATGCTGCATAGAACATTCAATCCATAAGCATTCAATCCAGAGAATATAATTGCCCTCGTAGGATTGCAGAATATTTCCATCGACTTGAACCACCTAGCTTAGAACAAAAAACTAAAAATGAAGGAACAATGAGCTAAATAAGAGAGTTAACTACACAGTCTAAGTTGGGTACCTGAATCCAACATTGGAATGAAGAGCCGCTTTCCATTTTTCACAATGCATACGCTTCATATTCATTGGATTATGAAAGACTAATAGTAAAGAGTTGTCTTGGGTATGGTAATATGAATCAATACACTTATATTGCTGATTCGCTTCTTGGAGAACCTGAAAAATTAAAATAACTGCATTACCGTGTGTTTCTTTTCAAAAGAAGAGGCTCCGTTTATCTGCTCTCTTTTCTTTCTCTAGTTCTGTCTACACTTTTAGTAAAAGTGAGAATACAAGTGGTAAATAATTTCTGGAAGATTTCAGCAACTCTTACAGAAAAAGAAATATGAGGGTCTGGGCTAGAAATATGCGCTTAAGTGCTTTTCATTAATTCTGAGAGATAATTAAGTCAAGCAGTCGCTTGTTCACTTCCCCCTTTGTTTTCATATGTATCATCTCATTTTAGCATCCTTTTAAAACTCCAGATAATTAGGTACCGTTACTTTCCGATTCCAAACTTTGAAATTCTCACTTTTCAGCATCAACTGGCCTTGAACGAAGGTAAGAGACTTGTTCAAAGATGCAGAGTTTAGAAGTTCTGGTGTCAGTTCCCTGTCAGTGTTTCTACTCTACATATCACCCTTTTACACTGAATCACAGAGAAATGGCCTTAAAAGGCTTTCTCATGAGTGTTGTTGCAATTTCACTTCTATACTGGCCTTGCCAGAACATTCTACACTCCGCATGCACTGCAACTGCAGCCACAATAGAGAGGCAAGATGGGCAGCTGGATGTCCTGTTTTCTTTTCCCTGACAATCAACACCAAGACGCATGTGCACAGGAAAATGAATTAGACAGCTGTGGGGTTTTGCGTTTTGTTTTCACTTTCATTATCGGTCTGGTGGTGGCAACCTTCAGGTCTCTGACATTTGGATGATCTAAAAGCATAGAATTGCGTATTATGTTAGGCAAGTTTCTGTCTGTGTTTTACTTTTGCTTTCAATTTTACACATAGCATAACCGAAATAGTACACTTGCTTCTCCAATCTAGTTCCTTGTGTGAATTTCTTTATGGAGTGATATTAAAACTTTTACATCTGTTTCCTGAGAGCCAAGAAAAGAAACAGAAAAGTGGTGAATGTTTCTGTATTTAAAAAGTATGTGGGTCACCATCCTTTACTTTGTTTTGAGTAAAGTCGGAAAGGCAAATTCCTTTCAGACTTTAAGCCCAAGAATCATAAAAAAAAAAAAAAACTTTTAATGCATGTGGGCATCGCAGTTTTTGTGTTTACATATTTACATGAAGTACTAAAATATTTCGAAGTTAAAGCTACTCTCAATCAATGTATGATAAATTTTGACACATATTTTTCAATACTTGGCTATGGCTAGGGTTCAGAGAGGTATAGGGATAAGACTGATGGATTACCCACTGTGGAAAGGACTGATGGGAACAGGGGCAGTGAGCAATGGAGGGGAAAGTACAAAACCTGTCAAACAAACCCTGTCATCCCGTTGTTCATCGATTTGCTTTAGCGGGCCCAGTAACGTCTTCATTTTGAGACTTGTTGTTACTGTGTTTGGCATACTGAATACGTCTCGGGTAGCTTGCCAGGCTCTGCCGAATGGGCGAGATACTCGGTAGCTTGCTGGGCTCTCCGAGAGGGGCGGAGGAATCAAACCCAGCTCTGCTGGGCTGGCTGCATGCAAGGCAAAGGCCCTACTGCTGTGCTATCGCTCCAGCCCTGCTATCGATCCAGCAAAACCTAAATAAAAGAAATACATCACCAAGAATACTGGCATATCCACCTGATATGCCAGTATTCAGATGATCAGTCAGATTTGAAGGAACAATACTGAGCCTCAGAGTTACGCAGTAACTTGAAAAACTCATAGCTTGAAAACCAGTTTTGCTCAGAAAGAAAAGGGAGCACCAAGTAAAGGGTGTTGGGAGGATCCTCCCAGGATGGGAGAAGCATGCGGAAAGTAGACTATAGTCTAAACATGATTGCCACTCAATGCCTCTTTTGCAAACCACAACACCCAAAAGGAGAGAGAGAACAAAAGGGTATGTCCTGCCACAGAAGCAGGGTGGGATCGGGGGGAAGGGGGTTGGGAGGGATACTGGGATCCGTGGTGGTGGGAAATGGGCACTGGTGGAGGGATGGGTATTTGACCATTGTATAATTGAAACCCAAGCACAAAAATGTGTAAGTCCCCAACTGTACCTCATGGTGTCTCACTAATAAAAATAAAAATAAATTTTCAAAAATCAGTAAACATTAATAAAAATATTTTTGAAGTGTTTATAATAAAAAGTAAGAAAACCAAAAAAATAAATAAAATCAGTTTTGCAAGAAGCACTGTCCTATTTCCACTGTTGTTTCAATAAATGGATATAGCTCCTAAAATAAATGAATAAATAAATAAATAAATGACAAGACAAACTTCTCTACTCTTGGCATTGAGTATGGCATTCACTCATACTCCGAGTGTTGACCTCTATGAGACTAAGAAATGTTTGTTGGCTTCTAGCTTATATAATATTTTACATATTTTCAACAACAAATTAATGTTTTTAATTTACATAGAATATTCTGTCTTATTAGATGTTTTGTGTTTTACATTTTTAGAGATTTTTATTACAATATTTCACTTTTTTTTTTTGCTTTTTTGGCTCACACCCAGCGATGCAGGGGTTACTCCTGGCTCTGCACTCAGGAATTACCCCTGGCAGTGCTCAGGGACCATATGGGATGCTGGGAGTAGAACCCGGGTTGGCCACGTGTAAGACAAATGCCCTATCTGCTGTGCTATTGCTCCAGCCCCAATATTTTCACCTATTAATGCATATATGCAAACATTATTCATAATAAAATATTTCCTAACAAAAAGCCAATATTCCCTTTCTTTGGCTAATGCACTTTTATAAGCTTATTCAGATTTTCCTAAAAATTTTCAATTCTGCTCATTCCTAATGAAATTTAAATATGTAGGATTTATCTATTTCACATAAATTTAAAAATGTAACAACACATAATTATTCATAATTTTTATGTTTAAATTTATGTACCCGTAAATAAGATAAGCAGTTTTTGAAAAAAATTACTTGATCAATTTATCGTTGATTTTGTCTATAGAACTAAGCAAGCTTACATGTGAAGAGCACTAGGGGGGGACCCTGGACCACTGATGGAGGGAAGCTCACTCGCTGGGGATGGTTGTGGTTTTAGAAATAAGGGGAACCCCAGGGAAAAAAGAAGAAAGTAGATAAAGGGAGATTATAATAAAAAATATGACGTTTGCAAAGTATTTCTAGAGTATAAAGACACAATTTTTATTGGATTCACCAGTGCAGTTCTTAGAGAAATAAAACTACACTGAGGCACATCAATAAGAAAGAGAACAATAGAACAAAAACAGTACTTCAAAACCTTCCAAAGAGAGAAGAAAAACCTCAAGCAAAGCCAGAAACTGTGGTTTGGCTTTATTTTTCTTCAAGGACAATATAGAAAACTAGAAGACTATTGAGGAATGCCTTCAAAATTGTGAGGGGGACAGCACACAGCAACGAAGAAGAAAACGGCTGGGGGGCTCCACAGCTCCCAGAGAATGCTCCAGGTCCCAAACAGAGCCAAGATCACCGGGAAGTCCCAGATGGGGTAGGTGCTGCATCCCGCCTTCTCCAGATGGAACCCCGTTGACCATGAGCCTCTACAAGCATAGCTCGGGCATGCGGGAACCAGGACATTTATTCCAAATCGCGCGGCCACATAAGCGGCCGCGCAACATCTCCTTTAATACAAAGTGATCAATGGAAAGTAAATCATCCAACGTTTCTTCCTGAAAATCAGGCTTAACTCTTTTGCAAACCACAACACCCAAAAGGAGAGACAGAACAGAGGGGAATTCCCTGCCACAGAAACAGGGTGGGATGGGGGGCATGGGGGTGGGAGGGATACAGGGATCCGTGGTGGTGGTAAATGGGCACTGGTGGAGGAGTGGGTATTCAAAATAAATAAATAAAAAATAGCAAAAAAAATTGTGAGGGGGAAATGCCTCTTTAGCATTTTAAATTAAGTCAAACTATGGAATAAATGTCAGGATAGGGAATCTTTATTCACAAAAACAATTGTTAAAACAATTGGCATAAGACTGAATAAAGAAGATACGGTATCGGTATGCACTGAAGTACTACTATCAGCCGGGGGAAAAAAAAAGATGAAATGCTGACATTTTTTTTTTTTTTTAAATTTTTTTTTTTCCCTTTATTTTATTTTATTTTTTTTAAAGTTGTAGATTTACAATTTTTTGTGCTTTGGTTTCAATTATACAATGATCAGATACCCATCCCTCCACCAGTGCCCATTTTCCACCACCATGGATAATATCCCTCCCACCCCCATCCCCCCATCCCCCCGTCTCTGTGGCAGGGCAATCCCCTGTGTTCTCTCTCTCCTTTTGGGTGTTGTGGTCTGCAAAAGAGGCATTGAGTGGCAAACATGTTCAGTCCATAGTCTACTTTCGACATGCATCTCCCCTCCTGGGAGGATCCTCCAAACATCCTTTATTTGGTGCTCCCTTCTCTATCTGAATAGCCCTTTCCTCTAGGATACCCGGCTGGCCTCTAAGTTATGGAGTAATCCTCCTGGTGCTGATCTCAGCTATTCTTGGGTATTAATCTCATACTTTGTTACTTTATATCCCCCAGATGAATGCAATCTTTCTATGTCTATCCCTCTCTTTCTGACTCATTTCGCTTAGAAATGCTGACATTTTCAACAACATGAATCAACTCAGAGGGATTGGAAGAAGACCACCACGTGATGTTTTTCGGCCATAGAAAAACTAATGAACAAACCAAACAAAGCCCTAATTCAGACCATACAAACAAATAAAAAATTAGGTAAAGGGGGTTAATCGTATGGTGAAGGACGAAAACAATACTTTGATGATGAACATAAAGTAGAATACAGATGTTGATTTATAATGTGATACAGCTAAAGCCTATATGATGTTATAAACCAACCTTACTTCAGTTTACCTGCCATAGATGAACTCAAGAAGTCACGGAGAGACAGTTTCCTACAAAATGAGATGGACCTAAGGAGTTACTGGATTTCAGGGAAGAGTATCTAAGTGAAGGGAAGGGCTGAGAATGTGGCCGGGAGCACAGTCGGGGGGGGACCTGAAACCACAGCTGCCACCGCGGGTCTATGGGGAACGCAGGTGAACGAGATCCTGCTCAGACAACAGAGGTGATAGAATACCTGCTAGATTTGAATGTGTGGTGAGGAGATCGACTCTCTGCTAGAGTTTGGGGGTGAGGAATGATAAATGCATGATAAACTAAACAAGTGGAATTTTTTTAAAAAAAGTAAAAGGAATGGGGGAGGTTTGGGAAATGAACTCCAGAGAGAGCAAAAGGAGAGTCAAAAGCGAAACGTCATTGCAGAATTACAACTCTGTTTAGCTGTGAGGAACATTTATATACTTGAAATAAGGTAAAGACAATATTGACTCAACCATAAATTGTAGTAGACTTAACAACGCTGGAGAGTGGCGAGTAGGGGTGAGGGAGAGGAGTTATGGACAGGCGTGGGTGAGGCTGGATGGGCAGGGGCAGAGCTGTTTGCTGAAGAGGGAGTCAACTCTTGAGGATGCCCCACACTAAAACCAGACCTAAATCAAATACATACATTTAGATATAAATATGCCTTAAAATATATTTATATTTAAATATATGTTTAGATATTAATAAATGTATTACATATACACATATAGTAAATGTTTATATATGAATACTTATATACATAAACATTTGTCATTTAGAAATCAGCGAACTGAGTTACAAAAGAAACAGGTAAAAAGATCTTGAGAATTTTTAACTCTGAAAGATACTGGGGTAGGAGCCAGCCGCTTCTTCATACGTTTCTTTGTAAAACTTTTTGGCTTAAAAAATATGTGGGTGTCATTACATTTGATAAATGTAAAACTGAAGCTAATAAGGGAGAGCAGGGAAGAGAATCCAGGTTTTTGCAGAAAAGGAATGCAACAAGCAGAACAAAGGGGATTGCTTTTTGATGACTTGTTACTTTGTAAAGGGTTATGAGACCACAAGTCCCAGGCCAGGGTTCTTGGGTTCCAAACCTGCTTCTCACCCAACAGCCATGTGACCTTGGGAAAAGTAACTATTGGTCAAGGTGTCCCACTGTCCTATGATTTAAACAGTTTCTGCTTCACAGGATAATGGCTAGGATGAAATTGATTGTGCATATTAATCACTGCCTACCACAGGCATGTGCTCAGTAAACATGAACTAGTGCAGTTTCCACTGACCTGTTAACTGCTGCAGAAATTATTTTGAAATGTAATGAAAACTGAAGGGGAGGCAACAGACAATACGGCAGAAGAGGGAGGGCGGTTGCTTTCAGTAAAGCCATCCTGTGTTTCTGGAAATTATGACAGCAATCATGCACATTTCTTTTGCCTTAAAAGTAACATGTTGTTTTTTAAGAAGCATATTTGAAATTATTATGAAGATTCCCTGGGATTACTCAGGGGACTAATTTTGGGGTAAAGTCATGTTAGAGCTAAAATAAAAGGGGATATTGATCTGAACTACATCTGAGTGACCTAGTAGTGAACTGTTCTAAATCGCACCCTGGCTTCCCAGACCTATTTGAGCCCCACCTAGAGACTCACAGGTCATTAATACCTGAAGCAGCACTTTCGGTTTAAAGTGTTCAGTAAAACTCCAGTCAGCTAGATTTCGTTGCTGTGTTTTCTTTATATCCTCTAAAACTGCTTCCACAGTCATTTTCTTGGGTTTCTAAGAAAAAAAATAAAATTATACATACATGCATATATACGCATAAATATCCATGATAGGCATAACAGTTTCAGCTTTAATTTGTTTAAGTCCAAGCAGAGCCCTCTCGGAGGCCAATGATTCCACATGCATGCTCTCTAATTGGGGGAATCTGCATATATATCCCTCCATATGGCAACATTTTAGGAGGATGGCTGCCAGGAAGAGTATGCCTTTGACTTTCTTTCCTTTTTTTTTATGGGCAACATAATCTAAATATTTTTATTGTTAGGTTATATTCTTCTGAGTCCTGTTAGCAATTATAGGCAGGTTTTCTGAACTCACTTCAAGACAGCATTAGTCCTACACGGCTGTATGGTCAGCAGGTGTTTGCAGCGGTTGCCAAGCCGTACTGTCTAGAGAAGCACATGCAGCGTGCAAGTCTCGCTTAAACGGGGAGAGAAATTAACTCCTTTCCTTCTGGCTGGAGCTGGTCTGGGATGTCTGGATAATGCCTTTTCTCTGGCATCAGCGTTCCCTGGCTAAGTATCTCCCGCGCCGCCCCCCACCCCCTCTTTTAAAATTGTTTCTCATTCTGGGTCACGGTTTACTCAGATCATCTTACTTGTATCTACACTTTTTTAAGGGGGGAAAAAAATCCTTACCTTTTCAAGAGGATCAGCCTTTGTGACGGTTTCATCTTTGAACTCATTCTGGTCTGTAAATCAAAGACACCAACATGCAGTTGTGTTCAGGCTTTGTTCTTGCCTTGGTCAGCGTATGACTTTTTTGTTAGCTCATGTGATATATGTCTCTGTGCTGAAAAGGCAATTCCTGAAAAGTGTGTTTCATGCCTCCAAAAAGGTATTTGTGTCAATAATTCTAAATCTGTGTCTACCTGGAAAAGTTCAACTAAACCCTTTGAAAAGAACCCGGCTTCCTATATGATATATTCTTAAATCACATCAGACACTCAGCCTCTGACTGTCTCACTCCCTTCCAACAAAGTACTCCTACCTTCACAGGTCACAGGTTGCAAATTATTGGTTAAACTATATCAATTTCTTAATACACACCATTTTTCTTGTCAAACTGGCAAACATTGCAGCTATTTTCAAGCTTCTGTGGGTCTTATGGGTGGTAAACTAAGGCAGGGGTAGGTGGTCTATGGGGAAAAAAACTATTCAATAAATGCTATTAGAAAATGGTGCTGTTTCACCATTTTGTTGAGCTCTTCTTCCATTAATTAGTCATTTTAACATTTAACACACTTGAATAAGCATATGCAGATTTACAAATGGAGTTTGGGAGAAGTTACTTAAATGTATAAATTAATGGGTAGCTGTACTCCAAAATAGCATAGCTTGGACCAATATTAACCATATGCAGCCTCTCTCCTTGTGGCCGAAGATTATATTTCTATAATATGTGAGGCTGTGATATCATTCTTGGCTATGAAGCAAGCCATGCTCCAGTAATTCCTGAAATTAGCAAATGACACAGAAAAAAAAGAGTTCCATGAGATATTTCTTATTAGTTTAATATGAATAAAAAATGTCCTTACTGCTAATGTTTCAGAATTAGTAATGGGTTCTGTGACTATGAATCTCAACAGAGAAATGCATGTAAGGCATATGACTAACTCGGTCAGAGCGAAAGGAGGAGGGATGAATCTTGTGGTAACATATTTGTGATGCTGAATTATGGAATGGACTTGACCTTTCTACCACCCTTAGAAAAGTAGGTAAATCCCTTGAGTTGTATATGAATGACTCCTTCCTAGTTTCCAAATGCCTCTCCTTGAATTGCTTCTTGCTCATTTTACTTCAAACTTGTGGTAGGTTTATAGTGTCTTAAGATTTTTGCACTTGTTTTTAACCTGTCAGATGTATGTTGTTTCTAGATATTCACAGATTTTGAAGCTTTTATTTGTTCCTATGTTCAAATGTTACCTCTTCAAGAGCTACCTCTCTCTTACCCTGTTTTCTTTTCACCACAGCATTTGCCAGTGCCCAATACTTTTCACTAACTGAATGTTCCCGTAAAAACCTTTGCAAGTCAACTGATAAAAAATAAAGAAGAAAATACCTTTAATTTATGTGGGAAAACGTGTGACCATTCACAGACCCAAAAATAACCTATTAAGTCAGATCTTATAATATATAAACCTAAAAGCATTAATAGGGACAGAGAGACAGTTGGACGGGCTGAGCATATGCTTTGCATGTGGACGGCCTGGGATCAATCCAGGCACTGCATGGTCCCTTGAGCACTGCCAGAAGTGACCCTCAAATATGGAGCTAGGAGTAGCCCCTGAAACTGTTGGGTATGGACTTCCAAAATAAAAAATAAAAATAAATCATAAGCGACACTAATATAGAGTAAAAGCAGAAACGTTGTGAGAAATAGATAGCTTGCGTGAAATAGTGTTGAGCGGGAGCTTGGCAGTGCCACCGCAGGTGCCCAGGAATGGTGGCTGGAAAACAAACAGGGAATGCAATACTTCCAATTTCACCTGTTGTATTAAAACGGAAAATCCTCTTCAGATTTCTTTCAGTTTGATCACGATCGATCACGACCATCCTGTTATTCGTCGATTGCCTCGAGCAGGCCCCAGTAACGTCTCCTTCGTCCTAGCCCTGAGATTTTTTAAAAGGTGCCATATTCAAGGCTCTTTCAGGGTTAGGAGAATGAGACCCATCATTGTTACTGGTATTTGGCATATTGGGTACGACACGGGGAGTTTGCCAGACTCTGCCGTGTGGGCAGGTTACATTCAGTAGCCTGCCAGTTTGCCCAAAGTAGGAATGAGATAATAAGATGTCTAGCTTCCAGGAGCTGGGTTTTATAGTCTCTGGGTCTTGGCCGTTGATAGGATTACACGGCGCCAGGGGCCAGTTGGTGGGTGTGACCCCTGCCTACTGGAATTTGGAGGATCTGGGTAGAGGATGCTCAGCCCCGATCCGAGCAGGCTTGGAGATCTCAGCCCCGGGACCCGTATGCCTTTGTTCCTCTGCTGGTACCTTCATGCGTGTGGAGAGTGGCCTCAGCATGGTGGTAGCTGGTTCTGGAGGTCTTCGGCTACCAGAGCCCTGTCGGGGCGGGCGGGGGGGGGGGGGGAAATCAACCCTCAATGCAGGTGTTTCACGGGCTTAAAACATCTTTTTTCACCTCGGGTGGAGGCAGAAATCAAGTCCAGGGCCAGGCAAATGCTCTACTGCTAGACTACACCCCGCCCTCAGATCAGTCTCTCATCAAAATAAAATGTTGTAACATAAACTTTTGAAAAACCAAAGGTGATGTTTTTATGTCAATTGCTCCATCATGCATATAAATTCCTGAAGATAAGAACTTTATCTTATTTTTCCCAACTATACTCTGTGAATTCAGTACTACTAGGAATTCAGTACATAAATACATACAGAGACACATATGTATGTAAATGAGGGAAATTTATATTACACATTGAGCCTGGAAAGAGTGAACCATATGGAATAACAGGGTTGTGGGAGAAACTACAATAAAGCCTTATTTGGATTAAACATAAGATTTAACTTTCATCCTGTGGCAGTGAGAACTATACATGGGCTTCTGAAGTCAGTAAATTTTTGTCTGCCAGGTATAGGCCAACACTGAGCTTTTCTTTCAGAAAGACTAGTTATATTTTCGCTACAGTTCCATCTTTTCTTGGTTGGTGAAGGAGACAGCTTGAATGTTCTATCCTGATTTAGAGAAAACTATAAAGTCAATTTGGCTTAGTACTTTTATAAATACATCCACTCAAGAGAGAAGTCAGGCCAACTATAATTCCAAATAGACCATGATGTCCCATGTGTCCTTGAAGCAATTGATATGAAATCTGTGGAATAAAAATTATTCTATTCTGTGGTCTGCCAGATTTCCGGGAGATTTGATATTCCCTCCTGTGCCTACAAATCCAGCACAAAAAGTCTCTGGTTTAGAAAACGTGTTCTAAAAAATTGTGCATCCGTTATTTTGTCAAAGGAAAATACATTCTAAAACTAATCTGAACACTTTATTGAGAGTAGGATAAAATTCTCCCTCCCCCCACCTCTCCACCCCTTTCTGATATCTGCCCTTGGCCGCATAATCCTTTGACTGTGATTCAGTAGTTTTTGTCACATCTGGAAATGGACGCATTCTCATCCCTTTGAAAAACAGCTTTCCTAATCTGTTTTACTTTAGAGATAACAAGATCCCTCTGCAAAGCACTCTCTTTATTAAAAAAACACCCAACAAGCATAAAGGGCACATCTAAACCTATAGCCTCACGGTTATCAACTCTCAGGTTTTTCATAAATATCCAATAGGCCCTGTCAAGTTCAAAACAGTCTCACATGTAAATCCAGTGTTTGGTTAAGAAAATCACAAATATTCAGCTCTCCATGTCTAGAAACGGACTTTTATACCAGTGTCTGACGTACAGATGGTTGTGGAAGAAATACATGAACAATTTCTGTTTTGTTTAAAGAAATTTAAAGTAGTTGCCTTCAAAGTATTATTTGATTAGGAAAGAAGTATAAGATCAACAACAATTTAAATTTTTTGTTTTTGCATGCAACCAACAGCTCCAGGGAGTCACCAAGGCTCAGTTTTGCCCTCCCCCTCAAATGTAAAGGATTCTTGATATGAATCAACACACATTGTCTAGAATCACTGTGGGTCATCAGTGCAGCTCTCAGGATTTCTCAGTCTCTAGGATGTACTACCTATTATCACATTTTTAGCCCTTGGTGATTTAGCTTGCTATGTTCATTTACTTTTTACCAGCACACAGACACCAATTTATGTGGTTTGACCACCAGATGGCAAAAGCTGCCTGAGAAAATGACATATTGGTTGCTCTGAAAGAAAACAAAATAAATTAAAACTCTCAGATCTTGTATCTCTCTTGTCTTATTTTGGCTTCATATGAATTCAAAATGATTCTTTTTTGTGACCTGCGTTTTTAGCTTTTACAATGTGTAGTGTATTAACATAATGAGCTTTACAGAATGAGGAGAGACTAACACCTTTTATTTTCTAGAATATCTTTTGCTAAGATTAGAATTCCTTCTTGAGTGAAGAATACTTGAGGTTGGAGAGATGAGAGAGTGAATAAATGGTAACTAATCAGCAGCCAGCCTGGTCCTCGTTCTTCCTTCACCTGCCTATCACCTACAGCCATCCCAATCCTGTCCATACACAGCGGCTCAAGAGCACCGAACACAGGCAGTGATGAGCATCCCAGAGAACCCATGAACACACATCTTTCCACAGGCATGTTCATTACACACACCCAAATAGTTTCTATGAGGCACATATCACCCTAATACTAAAAGCAGACAGAGACACCACAGAAAAGAAAATTACAGGCCGATATCCCTGATCAACAGAGATGCAAAGATCCTCAACAAAATATTAGCAAATAGAATCCAACGACTCATCAAAAAGATCATACACCACAGCCAAGTGGGATTCATCGGGGAGCAAGGATGGTTTAACATTTGAAAGTCAATCAATATAATCCATCATATCAACAAAAGAAGAGATTAAAAACCATATGATCATATCAATATATGCAGAAAAAGCATTTGACAAGATCCAGCACCGGTTTATGATGAAAACTCTCAGCAAAATGGGAATTGAAGGAACTTTCCTCAATATAGTCAAAGCCATCTACTACAAGCTCACAGCAAGCATTATCCTCAATGAGGA